CATGATCAGGGGGCTAGATAACTTTGTTAGGAGGCTTGGTAGTGATGCAAGAGTCCAGGATTTGAGTAATTTTTTCTGAGCCCAGCCATGAGGGGGGTGCTCAAGCCCCCTCAGCTCCCCCCCTATATACGCCTATGTATATTCCCATTAGCATCTATATAATAATATTCATTCATTTAAAATTATTCAATACATCTGTATATGGTACACAAATCTATGAATCATGATCTATTTTAAATAATCAATTATTGTAACAGTATGTAACACTCACCAGTAGCAGTACTGTGTACATCATTGGTTCCTTTGATATCATTACCACTGATCATAGCATTACGTTCTATAGAATACACATACACAGTCAATACTAATACAATCAGTGATATTAACTTACTCTCTTGATCTAACTTGTCAGCTGCAGCATTCTCATTCATAGATTTAAGAGCATCTGACAGTGAGTCAAAGGTAGCTCCTCCTTTATTGTCAACATTATCAGCTCTACGCAACCATCTGGCAATGCATTCAATAAAACGATCTTCTACTTTTGAGTAGTTTTCTGCAATAGCCTCCAGTGAGTTTATGAGTAGTCCTAGTGTCAGTCCCAGTTTCTTCCATCTCCTCTGAGGGAAACCACATCTCTCCAATAGATCAACAACATCAATAAGTTGCTCTAAATAATAAGTATTATAAATCTAGTACTTATAATGGATATTACCTACTAATAGTCAAAGGAGAAGAGAAGAGAGAAGGAGGAGAGTAATCGTTGCTGCTCTTCGTCGCCATTGTTTACTTTTGTTTGCAGAAAGGTTAAGGTGGGGCTGGATAAGGGCGTGGCTCATTCACTAATTAATTAATTGCATTCCTCAAAGATGGCGGCAGAAAATAAGCACAAGAGAACATTAAGTGACCTTTCTCTTCTTCTCTTGAAGGTCCTTCACTAGCAGGAGACACTCCAGTGAAAACAAGCAACAGAGAAAGGAAGAGAAGAAGTACCAGAGAGTTTATTTCAGGAAGTGACCAAAGAAGATTACGCTGACATAATCAGTTCACACGAGCCAAGGAGATAATTTTGTTTTCGATTTTACTCTCTTCTCAGCTTCTATCAAAATCTGGTAAGCCAACGTTTATGTGGTGGGTGTGGGTTATTATTATTATTATCATATTTAATTAGATCTATGTCTCATAGAGTTCTTGCACTGTTGTACATGTAATCAATGGGAGGGTGTGGCTAAATTTGAGCTAAATTGTCCGCCATGTTTGGTGGCAAGAATGTACATGGAGGAATAGAGAGAATGGAGAAAAAATTTGAATAAATTCTGCAGTTGACATTTCAGGTTAGAGAAAGGTAGGAGAGTACATCATGCAAGAGCTCTATTGTGGATTACTGTATGAGTTTGTGAATTTGAGTGCTTTCAATTCACCTCCTAAAATATTTTAATGTACATGTGCACACGAATATTATTTATTTTTATAGAATGATAAATTAGTATCAAATTATTCTAAAAGTATTGAGACACTCAGAAAAATAACTCCGAAATCACCCCAAATTTTTATTACATTTTTTGATACATATTGATGTCCTTATGCTGTATAGCAAGTTTGAGTTGATTCTGACTTCAATTTTTCAAGTTACAGCCATTTTAATAAAATGCCAAAATTTTGAAAAATACTCAAGGCTATGGCCATGGTTTTTTCTAAATATGGCTTCAAAATCACCCCAAATTTTTATTACATTTTCTGATACATATTGATGTTCTTATGCTACACGTACAAATTGTACATGTATGTATAAAGTTTGAGGTGATTCCGACTTCCATTTTTCAAGTTACAGCCATTTTAATGAATTTCAAAATTTTGAAAAAATACCCAAGGCTATTATTAGTAACGCAGTAGCGTTACTAAGTAGGATTCATCCCCAAACAAAATGGCTGCCACGACTTTTGCAACCTTGCTATACCGGGAAAACGAGCTCCTATGTTTACCAGACTTCTTAGAGGACCTTATCTTCACCAGAGGACTCCATTGGTACCCATAGCATGGCTCTAGACCTTGTCTAAGGAGAAAAGCCAAAAATCGGCGAACCGGCCATTTTGTTTAGCTACCTTTTTTCATCTTCATCATCATCTTCTTCATCAAGTCCTGTCAATCCAGTTGTCGGTGTGTATCTCAGTATCAGTTGATGCTACAAGGATAATTCTTACACCAATCTACTCCAACAGTCTATGTGCAGGTCCATGTCCCATCAGATCATTCTTCAAGTAAGGAAAAAGTGATACTGTGACTGCTGGATCGAGCCATCTTAGCTGCACGCCGCCATTTTGTTAATTAAAGAAGCAAGTGCTCCAAAATTTGGGTGTGGTCGCACATGCTCAGATCTGCAGCTCTGGAAGAAGCAATTAATTTTTTCCCAAGCTATACTACTGCAATACTTTAGTGGAGGTTTCCAGCTAAAAGAAGGTATTAATCTTACATGTTACTGTTTTATCAAGTGTGTTATTTTATTTTATTTTAAAAAACAAACAATTAAT